GTAAATAAATATGAACTACATTATAATATTTAAAAATCAGGTAATGCACTTTGTTGATTCACATAAATTACTTTTGATTTTTTTGAGCAGTAAAATGTATCATAAAAAGTAAGTACATAAATGTCTAAGATTTATCTATACCATATTTTACTAATTTTTAATGTTCTATCCTTTTAACTGGAAATGTCCTCATTTCTTAACTTGCATTCCAGTTTTCCTACTATATTTCCATATATTTAAATTAAATTAAGGGTTTATAATCCCCAAACACCTGACAATCCTTTTCGGAAGTCCTTTTTTATAATGAAGCAACTTGGCAACTCTAGAAAACTCACATGTGTGTGCTGTCGTTGTTGTTGTTGTTGCTGCTGAGGTAAGGTCCTTGCAGACTCTAATTTTTGGTATCTCCACATTTTCAGGTTGTTGTGCGTTTGTTGTGCCAGTTGTGTGTTTGTGTTTGACGTTTGTGAGTTTTTGGCGGTGTGGTTGCCTCCCAGAGACACCGCTGTTGTTGTTGCTGTAGCACCATCATTTTCGATTTCAGTTTATGTTAATTTATTGTTAATTTATTAAATTAAAACCAGCACTTGATATAGATATATATTCCACGAGAGTAAGGTAAAAAGAACGTCTGCGATTTGTTTTTTGATTTCTCAACTTTTGTGACGTTTCTTTGGATCTTTTTTGTTTAAGTTAAGATACTTTTTTTTTGCTAGTTAGGCGACCGAAGCCGAAGAGTAGCCGAATGCAACTGACTGAATACGAGAAGACGAAGCGACTTGCTGCACTCGCTGTGGGACCCGTTATGTGCCGAGCATGCTATCCCGCACACACACTTGCCCTGTGACCCTCTCGCTCTCGCTGCCTTACGCTTATGATTTGCAGTGGCAGTTAGTTTTTCCACTCACTCACTCCACTCATTCCACTCACTCTACTCAAACTTCTCTCACTCGATGAGTCGCACTCACAATCAACCCTGCACCGTTAGCCGAATACATCCGGGTGTGTGTGTGTGTTGGTGAGTGTGGAACGTATTCTTTGTCGCCTGCATTCTGATCAGAATTTCCATTGCACTCCATTGTTGCTGCCTTCCCCTGAATTTTCCACTTTTTCCCTGCATTTTCCTGCATTAGCATAGGCCACAACTTGACTTCTCCTCCAGGAATGGGTGTGGCCTATATATATATATATATATTTGTATATATTATGCATTTACCCCGATTTCCCTTCGATTTTTCCTCTGATTCTCTTATTTTTCCCCCCAGATTTGTTCTGCGCAGTATGCATATTGCAATTTGCTCTCTGTTGGCTAGTAAATCATAATTAAGTACTATATATTATATATATTTGGCAGAAGGTAATGTCTGGTTGATATATATACATAAGAGGGGATATATAGTCAGGAATTGAGGGGTCAGTCTAGGGGCAAAAGTGGAGGTAGCTCCAAATTTGGTAAGATTCTTTATAAAATGTTGTACATTTATGTAAATCAAAGAAATGTATCCTAAATTGTATATATTTTATGATATCCTTTATGGTACCTTTTTATAGACAATAAAATTTAAATAATCTAATATAAAGATTGATTGGGATTTATATTACAAATCAAATCGATTTGATTCTAAATTATTTAAAAATAATGTTTATCTATAGTTTAAATTAATATATAAACATAATGAAACCCCAATTAAATCCTAATTAAATACTGAACATATTTCCCTTTTAAGGGCAGTAACTATTACTCTATTTCTTTCAAAATTGTGTTATTTATAATAAAACCCAATCTTTTATTTCAATTCCATTGAACTCCTACAACTCATTGGTCACAGAATTTCCAGGATCCAGCAATCCTGACTGCAATCGTCCTGCCATCTAGCTTCGAGCACATTTCAGTGTGATTATATAAACACAAACCCATTCATATAAACATCAGCGCAGCCATTGAACCGAGACTTTGGTCGAGTAATTACAACAAGTGTTGTTTGTTGCGTTCTCTCATTCTGAACAGCTTCCTCCCACACCCACTTACACACACACAGATGTACTAGGATTTTCCTTTTCCTCTTTGTTTTTGTATTTCCTGAAAAGTAAGGAAAAGCGTAGGGAAAGGGTCTTGTGGTGACAGCGCATACATTTTATGATTATGACTGTGACTGCGGCTGCATTTTTCTTAGCTTTTCTTTTGGCTCTTTGGAAAAGTTTTGTGCAAGTTTCAGGCGGAAAATAATGGGGAAAGAATTCTTATATTTTCCTTTAGCTGACCTGGGCCCATATCCCATTCCATCTGAAATGTTTTAATTAAAACTGCAAAATTATTGATTTTTGCTTTCTTTTCGTTTTAAATACATTAAATAACTTAAAAGTTTAAATGATCATATAATCATAATCACTATTTTAATAAAATCTATAAAAATCCCTCCTCTTAAATCAATTTAAATAAATAATAATACGAATACCACACCCTTTATTTACACATAACATCTCATTAAAGTGCCAAATGATTTAAGAGCCAACATCGAAACAAGAAGAATGAGGAAAATCAATAGCAATCGTTCGATTCTTTCCCCAAAAACTAATTTCAATAGTTATCCTTTTTGGGGTCCTGGCATTCCTGCTGCTGCTCCTGCTGCTGATTAAACTTGTCACTGGGAGACAAAAGATAAACAGTTCCTCACTTTGGATAGTTTCCCCTGTCTGTTACTTCGTTGGGCGGTGTCTAGGCAATTTGATTATTTGCCAGGAGCAGATAGTCAGGACAACCCAGACAGGACACACACTGACCGAAGACAAAAAAAAGAAAGAGGAAGAAAAAGGGGAGGCACACACTCACTCACACACACACACATGTGCCAGTCCTGGCAACATAGAAGTTTTCGGGCATTGAAATTAATCAAGAAAATAAACGCTTGGCAGCATCGTCGCAAATTTATATAAGTTGGGGGGGAAAACCACACACACACACTTTGCATGACGGAAACAGACGGGACAAGGGCAAGGACATCGTCCAGGATCAACAGTGGGAGTGGGAGTTGCCGGGCTGAAGCTCTAACCCGGAACCCGGGTAGGTTGTGGTTGTGAAAACTCGGACATTTCCCTGTCGCTTCTCATTCAGCTATTGCAACGCATTAAAATGACATACCAATTTGCGTTAAGCAAATAAGACGAGACTAGCATTTGGGTTCTGGTCTATAGTTAGTTTTACTTTGGACTTTGGGACAGGGAAAATTGGGAGGAAGGTTAAGTGGTTGAGGGGGGGTCAGTTCTGGGGGTTCATAGCCTTGGGATGGGTGGTTTCTGCATGGGTTTTCCTCGGAGCCTTGGGGTTCGAAGTAAAGACGCAAATTTTGCAGAACAATTTATGCGTACAATTTTATATTGAAAGTACATTTACCTATTTGTACTAAAGAGGAATATTAAATAAATAAATGGTAAATAACATAACATAAATAAAACAGATGAGAGAAGACTACGTTTTTCAGGAAATCTCTGGAAACTTACAAAGAAATATGAGCTGTCATTATATTAAGAAATTAAATATTAACAAATATGTATATCACATTTTTCAGGTTCTCAGAAAACTTAGTAATCTATATATTTCCTTAATTTAATTCATTCCTACTCAAAAATATTTCACCTTTCCAACAAAACCCCTCAAAAAGTAACGTATTTCTTAACCAACACTTCATTTTCTTTATCCCAAAATGGGTTAAAAAACAGGCACATAAATCAACAATACTTTTACACATAAAAATTGTGAGAAAATTTTGCAAAAATTCCGTTAGATATCCCGTACTTAATCAGAGTCCTGGCACCCAGAAAAAAATACAATATATATAAAAAGGAACCGCAATTTTTCGTGCCTTTTTCTCACCCTCCTCGAAGACATAAAAATCGCACAAAAAATCACCCAAAAAAATGTTATGCCCTTTGTTCAATTTGAATTTCTTTCAATTTCGAGCTATTTTTACCTTAAAAAATTACGCATTATTGGGGTACATTCACCCTTAGGTAGACAGAGAGCCCAAAAACTAAGGGGTTGGTGCTACCCCTCGGTTTGGCGAATGCGAGTTTACCTTTGAGCTAAGCTGTGGAAGATCTTGGGTAATCCCTGACAGTGATCCTCAATTTTTACCCTTGAGTCCCTGTCTCTGTCTCTGTAGTTTTTCCTCCCAAAAAACGGGGCGCAATTTTCTTCGGCATTGTGAGATGGTAAAAATCGGAAGAAAATGCATTATTTTTTGGTTGAAATTTTCTGCGAAGGGTTGTCGATTGACAGAGATTTTCTGTGGCAGATTGGCCCGAGGACGGGACAGAGCCTCTGGCAAGTCGAAATCAATAAACGTTAATAAATAATCCAAGAAGGGAAGAAGATGCGGCGCTAGAAATGCGGAAGTAAAGGGACATTTTGGAGGCTGCTTTTGTCCTCAATTCTCTATTGATTTCCGCTTTTGGTGGCGCAGTTTCCTCATCGATTTGCGATGGGTTCAATCGGGTTTCTTTTCTTATATTTTAGCGCGTTATTTTTAAGGGGTTTTTTGTATATGTTTTTTGTGTTTTCTGATCTGCAGATGGAAAGAGTTAATAAGTTTTTGGAGGGAACGTGGTTTCGAGAGGGTTCTCCTTAAGATTTTGTAACGGTTTGGAAATAGGTTTTAATAGAAATTAAAGGTTTCGAAGCTTAAAGGCTATGTTTTGATATTTGATTGAAATAGGTTTAGAAATTGTGTACTTTAAAATGTATTTGACTGTCTTAAAAGGTTTTATAAAAATCTGGTGATTATTAGTTCAAAACTTTCAACAATTTTATAACCCTCTATTACACTCTGATTTCCTGAAAACCAAAGCCATTTTCTATCTCTCAAAAAACTCCCACAACCTCCAATCAATTTATGCAAATCTAACCCTTATTGCGCAACCATTTTTGAGTCTGTGAAGAAATTTAAATCGCATTTAAATAAAAGTGGTGGTGGTTTAAAAAATAAAAGTAAAGAAAAATGGATTTATGATCTCAGCTTTACAGCTTGTAAAGCGTTTTTATTGGATTTACGGCCACCCTTGACGGAGTTTGGTCCCCGGGCGGGGCTCAATTGGCCATAAGCTGCTCAGAGTACCGGGTCACAGTTGGTAGTGACACCAGTTTTGCGTCAGAGCTTTTCTTTTGGATTTCCCGTGTGTGCGTGGGGTGAGTTCTTTTTTTTTCGTGTCCCTGTCAAAGGTTACCTCATGCAATTGTGGTTCGCTTGTGCGCCTCAAGCAACCTTTTTCCAACTACCCCACATACACAACCACCCACCGAATGGAATGACCCATGCCCCTGACCCAACCACTCACCACCACCCACTGGCCGCACAAAGTGGTTTTAAATTCCATTAATAAAGTTGTAAAGGTTGCTTTCGATGGATGGAGAGTTTTCACGCATATTTTGTTCGCACTTTTGTAAAATTTATTAATATTTTAGTGATTTTAAATGGAGTTTGTATGTTTGAGGGGGATTTCCCTTTCTATTTCCAAGCTTTTCTGTTCATTTTGGAACTTTGGGGTAGGTGATACTATGGAATCTATTGTATTAAATTGAGAGCTGGTAATTGAGTTTGGATTTTCTTGTCTTATTTTGAGTGCTTTGGATTTGAGTTTCTATGAAATTAAACTTAAGAAATGAAAAGAGTTTTGTATGGAAACTAAAATTACCTGTTATTTGAGGGAAAAGTACGAATTGGTATAATAAGAACTATAATTCCTAATTAATCTAAACAAAGAAGAATTTCACATGAAAATTCCCTTCTAAATACATCTTTTATAAACTCAAATATCATATTTATTTTCCACCTAACCCATTTCCTTTGTTTTTCTTACCTTTACCTGTAAAAAAACAATTAATTCGAGCATAAAACTTACCTTTGTTGACGGGACGACAATGTCGACCGTTTGGTGTTGGTTGCTCGTAAATGTCGTGGTCCTTGGGCGGAGCTGCTGGAGTTGGCGAGGATTGGGGTAGCGGCAGGACCTCCTCCTTGGGTAGAACAGTGGGTTGCATTGTCGTGGGTGGTAGCAGCTTCCTAGCCAGACCATTGCCATCACAAACGACCTCATGCCAATGATGTTTATGTTCAGCTTCCTGAGACTGCTCCGGCTCCAGCTCAAGCTCTTTTCGAGGCTCTTGCTCCTGCTCCTGCTCCTGGAGGATTTCCTCCTCATCTCGCAACTGCTGCTGCTTGAGCTGATGCTCCCGAATAAGGCGATCCCGTTCGTGGAAATGCCTCACGAACAAGTGGTCACCATTGGGATGATGATGGTGATGGTGGTGCTGGTGCTGTTGCTGTGGCTTCGGTGGGGTTAACGACTTGAATGTCTCCGTTTTGGGGGGATAGACGCCGGCTACCAAACTGCCCGGCAGACTATTAATTAATGTGCCCATTGTCCTTTGCTGGTAATGATGTTGTTGGAACATAATTTCGTGCAGCGGTATTAGAAATTCTGGCAGGGATTTCTGACGCTGGCTTGACCAGCGTTTCCATGCCAAAATAAGAGACCGGCAGACATGTCTGCTGCTGCTGCTGCTGCTGCTGCTGCTGCTGACCATCCTCCATTGGCAGGACACGGCTACAGGCGGAAGTCATCATCTGCGGAATGGCGATGACATCCTTGTCCCCGGCACTATTATAATATGATATCCAATGCCTTCGGCGGGCCTTAGATACCAGGATTTAATATTGTTTTGTTGCCACGACAGCTTGTAGTAGCAGCCAGCGCTATAAATCACAGAGAAAGAGATAGAAAAACACAACCGTATAAAAAAGGGTTTTAGCAATTGCATTTTTATAGACTAGACCCGGAAATGAAGTGAGAATTGGTTGATTTTTCTCCCCAAAAATACAGGAAGTGATAAAGCTGATCAAAATGGGCTAAAAAAGGGTAAAAAAAGGGGTTTCCGATATCATTATCAACACTTGCTGGCTTTTCACCCCTCAGCAACCCTCCTCCAACCCCTTTTTCTCGCTAGCATATTGCCAATGGAAACCGTTTATGTCACTATCAATACTCATCATTATGGAACTCTGATACGCCTTTCACCTTATAGACACCTTACCCCCATTTGGTTACGCTTTTTTTGTAGTTTGTATTTTTTCAGTGGGGGTTGTATGTCATAGATTCGCCATATTTTGTTTTTCAATCAGTTTAGTTTTTTTTTTTTTGTTCTACGCCAATCTATTCATTTAGCTTTGATTGATTATGAAATCTGTACATAATTTGGATTTTAGTTTTCAGATAAAGTGTGTGAGGGAAGCAGAATTTGAACATTTGTTCAATATCAAAGTGGGCGTTCTTAGTCATCTTCGAAACTGAGTGGCACGCCCTTCGATGACGTTTTTGGGGTAACTCTATTAGAGACAACTAATGGAGGTAGAGTGCTTTTTGGTGGTGTAATTTTGATAAACTGGTTATTTTTTTTTTTTAATTTTGTAAAAAAACAAGGACTGCGGGAAGTCGAAGTTTGTATACCCTTGCAGTTTGGTATTGGATCAGAGTTAAATTGATCATAACTATGCAAAAAGCATTGATTTCGATTCGGAAGCTGTCATATGTTAGTTTTTATTAGGTTAATAATCTGCTTACTAAATTAATTTTTTTTTAATTTCAATTTGTATCAATTTTGACAAATTTAACGTTATAAATGTTCAAATTTTTTGAAAAAATTAAATATTGGTTGGACATAGCAAAGATTTACTCGGATTTGATGCTGATCAAGAATATATATGATTTATAGGGTCGGAAATGACTCCACATCATTTCGAGATTGTGAATACAAATATATACCATTTAAGGGTATTAGAATTAAACTTCGTATTATTTGTTTTAGAAGTAAACAATTCAGGAATAACTTTATTAATATAAATCACTTAAATGTGTTAATGTGTAATATGAATTAAATTCAACCTTATGTTGCAATTAACCACGGTTCGAGTCTAAGCTGATCCAGGAATGTTTTGGAATGGGCAGCAGATTCTCTCACTCTCTGGCGCCTCTTTCCAATAGCCGAAGCAATGCCTCCTTCCAATATGACTTGGAAGCTCTCCCGATGGCCATGCAAATTCAGTTTATCCAACGACGCCGGTCGGAGCGGGATAAAAATGAAAAAATCTCCATGCAGTGGTCGCCGCGTCGGTTAACGGTGAAAACAAACGGAAAATTACCACAGAAACTCGGTTTTAAGTTGAAAAGTGCGAAAAATCAGTAAGCCCCGCAGTGAAAAGTGTTTGTAAAGCGGGGGCAGACCGGGCCGTCGTGTGTTTTTTTTTCAATTACTAACGCCTGTTTGTATACGTGTAAGTACATATAAATGCAAATATATGTAATACATATATACTTAGTCAAGATCAGTGCGCTTTTCTTGGCTAGTTAAGTTTTTTGTTTTTTGTTATGTGCAAGTGAAAATCCAAGCAGGCAAAGTAAATGTATTCGCGTTTTCAAAACCTTCAATAAGACAGCTTAATTTCATCTTTCTCGTCCGTTTTCGTATACCAATTCGCCGTTGGGAGCTGCAGCTGCTACATGCAGCGTAATGCGAGTGAGTGAAACAAACTGATTTTTATAATCCTTTTTCGCCGCCTTTTTGTGCATTTGCGCGGGAATTTTTGGTAAATTTATTATTAAAATAGTTTTAGAGAGGTAAAAGTACGCCAGATTCCATTTGAACCCCCATAATTTGGCAATTATAATGCGCTAGATCTAGCGGGAAAATAGGTTTATCATTGTGGTCATTTCAATATGCTACATGTTGCCAGAAAAAAAGCTAAACTGACATCCACAATTGAAATACCCGTAGGAAGTACCGTAACTGACTTTGTACGCTCTCTCGCTCTGGAAGTTGGAACTTAAGTATAAGCGCAAGAGTCTCTTAAAGAGAATACGAAGCCTTTTTGGCATGTGAAGATCTGCGCTCTTTGTTTTCCTTTTTTCTCTTGGCAAATTGAAAAAAAAGAAAAGAAAAAAAAAAACAAAAAAAAGCCAGCAAAACTTAATGACTTATATAATTATATGCTTATATTACTATATATTTTTTTTATTATTTCTAACATTATTGATTATATTCGTCTTCTTATATTGAAAATATTTTAATTTATTACCATATGTGGGGAATTTTAATCCTTTTTCTTACATAAAAATAACCCATTAACCCATATTGTCCACTTATTCCGTCCATTAACCGTCCAATAGCACAAGAACTTAATAAGTTATTGTATGTTGATGATGATTATGTAAAAAGCCAACAATTTTCCTGTCCTTTATATAGTTTTTTCGATATGTATTTGATATTTCAACGTTGAGATAAAGTATAAAAGATCATGGCTCACAATCCGCCTAAACCTTTAATAATTATCCAAAAATATATCTAAAAATATCTCACTTTTTTCTTTTACAATCAAACAAAAAAACCCAAAGCGCCATGTAAAACCCAAATGATGTAAAATCAACGCTTTACACTTTTCCGACCCACATTATTTATGCCCTTTGCTACTGCTTCAGCTACTGTATGGCGCATGATCACTTCATTGTGAGATCATTTATGAATCCCAACATTCAGAAGCACAGAACTCAGTTCATGATGATGAACTCTGACCTATGGCTAATGATGATGCAAAGATAGAAAAGCATCAAATACAATTGCCAAGGCAACCGCAAATGTTCATTAGAGCGCCAAAAACTGTTTGAATAATGAGAGAAGTTCACGAATCACAGAGTCCGGGGTATAATTGTGATTGTAGCTGGTCAGATCGGATCACAGAGACGATGTTATGGTATTTTGATTTATACCCGACGGGGTCAGGTAGAACAAAAGCCGGCAAAAGCCGCAGGAAAGTCATTTCCCATTCTTTTGGCTAAGGTACAGATTTAACCAGAGGAGTGGAGGTAGAGGTTTCTTTAAAAAATAATGAAAATATTAGTTAACGCTTAACCCTCTGTCACCCCAGCGGCTCGTGCTGGCCACGTGACATCTTAAAGATGCAGAAAGGGTTGAGTTGTGACGACACACACCGGAAATGGAACAAAAAAGTCGGATGTTATCCGGGGTTATGGTATTTAGCTGATTTCAAGCTGCAATTGGAATCGGGAAAGGGTTTTATTTATTTAAGAAATTATTAAAAACTTTTTATAGAATTTAAAAGTAGGAAGAATTTTATACACAACATAAAAATGGGTTTTCAAAAGCATATTCAATTGAAATATATTAATGGTTTTAAGTCAAATAAAATATTCAACATTTTAAATGAAGATCTTAGATTAAAGCTTAGGCTTATTCAAATTCTAAATTTTTATATAAAAAAGGAACTAGGATTATAGTTCATTCAAGACTATACAAATTCCCTTTCAGTTTTATTTCCTCCCATATAAAAATTATATAATTTTTTTTGTCACCACCGAATGCGAACCAAAAATGAAATAGGGGGCGGTTTGGGTAAGTCAGCTGACTTTCAATTATTTGGAAAGGCTTCCTGTTTCTATTAATGATTTTCCTTCAACGCCGGCTGTCAATCGCCTTGAATACTCGTGCCAGTCAAGGTCCTTTTCAATTGCAATCTCTCGAAAGGGGAAAACTCTCTTTCACTTATTCGCTGAAAGATGAAGATCCAAAGGTGAAAGTTTCAATCGAATGAGAAGGACGTTGTCGTATCCTTGCTTGCACAGTTGCCGCAGAGCAGCTGCGTTAGCCGCACAAGCCGCAATTGTTAAAAAACTGAACATTAAATCCTTTTTCAGGCTCAATTTGATACAGAAGCCGCGCACATCCTTTGGGCCCTCGGCTCCTAAGCCTGGCAAGCTGTTTCAACGAAATCCAAGGCGCTCCAAAAGGGATCCTCCTGCCATAGCTGTCTTCCTTCTTTCTCGGTTTTTTTCTTCTGGTATTTTTTGGCATTGTTACTTTGTGCGATTATATTTACCTGCAACATGGCGATTAACGCGCATCCTGCTTTACCTGAGCAAGCAGGACCTCCTCTTTATTGCTTTCCTATGCGCTTTGATTTCACATTGCGGCAACATCCTTTATCCTTTGTCCTCCATTGTTGCATGCACCGGCTGGCAAAACATTAGAAAAAGTGAAACGAGGGGGAAAAGCAAAAAAAAAAAAAAAAGCAAAGGGGAAACCCCGGAGAAGTGACGGACCAGTTGGCGATCCTTTCTTTTGGCGCGTTTTCAATTACGCAATACCTTGGCAGGAAAATTCGCTGAATATCTCTATTTTCGTCTGTTTGAAATTAGTTTTTTTTTATGATTTTTCTTTGGAAATATTTTTAATTGAGAAATTGGACCACACAGCAGCAGATCTGCTTTAGACATTCAGTTGGTAATTGAAATTTTAAGCCATAAAAAAGGTTATAAAAATATGAAGAGGGTAGCTCTCTATTCTCTAAAATAATGTTATATTATGATTTTTAAATACAACATAAGATTGAATTTATTTGATATTTACACATTTCAACACATTTAAATAATTTTAATTAATACACTTAATTATTTCTGAATTATTTACTTCCTAAAAACAAATAATAACGAAGTCTGATTCTTATACCCTTAAAGGGTATTATAATTTTAGTCAGAAGCTCGTAATAATGTGAAG